CTGAAACGAAAGTATTAAAAATGGGTTTGAATTTTGCTGCACATGTTGTTGTTGTTGTTGTTATGTGCCGTCGAGTCAGACCTGACTCATAGCGACCCCTCCTTGGGTTTCCAAGGCAGTATCACTGCGGAAGTAGATTGCCCCATCTTCCTTCCGAGGGCCTGCATAAATTACTGCTCTTTTTAATGACACAGGGTAGAGGGAAAGAGGGCTCGTAAGTAAAGGCCCTGGCCTTACATAAAGTGCTTATTTTTATTTCAAAAGTATCTGACATTTTTCTGTTTCTAGCATCGCCGCATCATAAGATCCATCACAGCTGCAAAATACAAAGAGAAACAGCAAGTGAAAGATGTGCAGAAACTGAGAAAGAAAGAACCAAAGACTATTCTTCCACATGATCCCACTGCAGATGTTTTTGTGACACCAGCTGAGGAAAAACCAATAGAAATACAGTGGGAAAAACCAGAGCCAAAAGTTGATTTGAAAGCAAGAAAGAAAAGGATATACAAAAGGCAAAGGAAAATGAAACAGAAGGTGAACAGTGGGAATGCAAAATGAATCCATGGATAACTAATTTGTTTTTCCCTGGTTTTATATTTAATTTGTAAATACTTTCATTATCTAAGACTATCTAATTAGTGTTGCATTTTAAAAGAAAGAAAAATTAAATGCCAAGGATTTTTTTTATGTCTTCAGTGATGTCTATGTGTTTCTAAATAAAACATTGTCAGAACTCATCTATTTCTGTTTTTCTTTTCAAAGCTCATTTGGCATGAACAATCTCGCACATTTAAGTTTTAGGCCTACTCTCTTGGATTAACATTTTTGGTTTAAACATAGCTTCTGAAATTTAGGCAGATTTTTTTGGGGTCATTATTACTTGTATAACAAAGCATTGGCCACTTAGTTTCTGGATCGTCAAGTAGGGTTTGACTGGTAGAAAGGAAAGCATCTGGGTGTGGTTTTATTCAGAGTTACCAGTTAATGAAGCTTGAAACCTCTGACCTTGTTTTCTCTATTCAAAAAAGAGTACCAAAAAACTCTTAAGAGGTGTTTTTTTTTCCTTTTAAATTGTGATTTGGGTGAAAGTTTACAGAGAAAATTCATTTTCCATATCTCAGTTCATACACATTTTATTTCATGACATTAACTGCAAACCCCATAATGAATGTAACAGCTCTCTCCCCACTTCCTCCCTGTAGTAACCTCTTCCCTATGTCCTTATTTCCTATGCATTTCTGCCCCCCGAGCTTTCTCCCTGTGTAAATACTGCCCTTCTGTGCTCAATGGGCTCATGAACAAAGTGGCCATGGTGGCAGGGATGGAGTTTATGCATGGGTTCAGCAACATGGACTTCCACTTACAAAGGCTGATTTGGCTACTGCCACTGCTGAGTGCCCAATCTGCCAGCAGCATAGACCAACACAGTCTGTGATATAGAACAGTTCCTCAGGGTGATCAGCCAGCCACCTGGTGGCAAGTTGATTACTTTGGACCACTTCCATCATGGAAAGGACAGCGTTATATTCTTACTGTAGTAGTTACTTATCCTGGATATGGATTTGCCTTCCCTGTATGCAATGCCTCTGCCAGAACTATTGTCTGTGGACTTACAGAATTCCTTATCCACTGTCATGGTATCCCACACAGCATTGCTTTGGATCAAGGGACTTACTTCTTAGCAAATGAAGTGTAGCAATGAACCTATGCTCATGGAATTCACTGGTCTTACCATGTTCTCCATCATCCTGAAGAATCTGGCTTGATAGAACAATGGAATGGTCTACTGAAAACAATTAGGGCTCCAGCTAGGTGGCAATACTTTGAAGGGTTGGGGCAGTGTCCTCCAGGAGGTTGTATGTATTCTAAATCAGTGTCCAGTATACAATGCTGTTTCTCCAATAGCCAGGATTCATGGGTCTAGGAACCAAGGGGTGGAAATAGGAGTGGTACCACTCATTATTCCCCCTAGTTTTGCTTCCTGTCCCTGCTACCCTATGCTCTACAGGTCTGGAGATCTTAGTCCCAAAAGGAGGAACACTTCTACCTGGAGACACAATACTGACTGCATTGAACTGGAAGTTAAGAATGCCACCTGGCCATTTTGGCTTCCTCATGCCTTTGGATCAACAGAGAAAGTAAGGGCATTACTGTACTATCTGGTGTGGTAGATCCTGATAACTAAGGAAATTGGATTGACATATAATGGAGGTAAAGAAGAATATGTCTGGAATACAGGAGATTCTTTAGGATGTCTCTTAGTACTACTATGCCCTGTGATGAAAGTCAATGGAAAATTATAGTAACCCAATTCTGATATGACTACTAATGGCCCAGACCCTTCATGAATGAATGTTTGGGTCACCCCACCAACAAAGAACCACGACCAGCTAAGGTGCTTGCTGAGGGCAAGGGAAATACAGAATGGGTGGTGGAAGAAGGTAATTCTGAATATCAGCTACAACCACATGACTGGTTGCAGAAATGAGGACTGTGATTATTATATTTCTTCATTGTATATGTGCATCAAATATTTTTGTTTCCTTCTGTTAAAAACTATGAAATGTAAACAGGGTTAATGCGTTTCAGTTGTATGTGTGTTAGTGTATCATGTTAGGCACAAATAGGACTTTATAAATGTCCTTATTTAGAGATTATGATTAAGGAGATGTGTACAACTTCCAGGTTGACAAGGGGTAGACTGTGATAATTGGAGCTGTGTGTCAACTTGGCTGGACCACAGTTCTGAGTGGTTTAAGCAGTTATGATGTGGGTTATTACCATAATGGCATAGGATGTATATGTTTTGAGCAGCCAATCTGTTGAAAGGGAGTTTCCCCAGGGGTGTGGCCTGCTTCCAATATATTTATGGACATCCTGGGAAACTGAGACACTCTTCTGTGGACCAGGATCCTGTTGTGCTGCCTACAACTGTCCCTGAGCGAACAGTCTACCATTTGGCCTGGAGATCTTGGATTCATCATTTATTGGAGTCAGCAGCCAGTGTACTGCCTGCCAATCTTGAGCTCGTCAGCCCCTGCAGTTGTGTAAGTCAGGAAACGCCTCCAGCTTGACGTTTGATCCAAGAACTTGAGACTTGCCAACTTCTATAAGTGTGTGAGCCATCTTCCTAAGATAAATTTCTTGCTCGCTCTCTATACATAATATATACAAGAATTAATGGTTTTGCTTCTCTAGAGAACCCAGCCTAGCACAGAGTGTATCTACCTGATGTAAATGTTCACCCTATATACCAGTCTTTTGTTTGGCTGAGGAGCTCTGGTAGCAAAGTGCCTAAGGCACTTGACTGCTAACTAGAAGGCTGGCAGTTCAAACCCACCAGCTGCTCCTCGGAAGGAAGGTTGGCCAATCTACTTCGTAGTGATACCGCCTCGGAAACCCAAGGAGGGGTCGCCATGAATCAGGGCTGACTCGACAGCACATAACAACAACAACATTGTTTGGCTGGAAGTCATAAGAGTGAGTTAAATTCCAGACCTGAAGGGTATCTAGGGCCCATAATCTCGGGTCTCACCAGCCTCTATTAGATCAGTAAACATGGTCTTTTTTATGATTTTGAAAAAACTTAGGAATTTTGAGAATAAATTAGCTTATATATGTGCAGTGCAGTAAATTACATAATTTGATTTTTCTAGCCTTGGTCCTTGTGACTCACCGGATGACTAGGTGGGACCATGCAGATGTGAGGTGCTTGTGGCCCACCAAGGGAATTGGATAGCTTGCTAATAATGTAAATAAGGGGCATGGCACCCTTGTGGGGGTAGGAACATGCCAGAAATTCAATCTGTATTCAGAAGAGGATGTGGAATGAGGGATATCATTGTTGATGTCAGATAGATCTTGGCTAAAAGCAAAGAATACCAGGAAGATATTTACCTGTATTTTATTGACTATAGAAAGACATTCAACTGTGTGGATCATATCAAATTATGGAAAACATTGTGAAGAATGGAACTCCAGAACATTTAATTGTGCCATGAGGGACCTGTACATAGACAAAGAGGCAGTCATTTGAACAGAAAAAGGGGATGCTACATGGTTTAAAATCAGGAAAGATGTGCATCAGGGTTGTATCCTATCACAGTTAAGTTTGTGTGTCAACTTGGCTGGGCCTGGTTGCATGGCTGGGCAGCTGGATGTAGCATTCCCCTTAATGAGACTGGTAATCAACCCCATGGTGGAATCTACTGTGGGCAGCTGAGTAGCTGCTTTAGTGATGTGGTCAGCTTCCTGTATATGAAGAGAAGGCTTGGGAATGGTCATTTGGCATGCTTGAACCCTGCATGTAGCCAAGTCATTGTTCAACAGCCTGCCATGCCCTGCTGATCTTGGGACTTCATGTGGACTTAAATTAGTGGCCTGCCATGTTGTTTGGTAACATTGGGACTGTGCCTTTTTACTTGTCAACCTTGAGCTTGTCAGCCTCAGCAGCCAGCAGCTGCCTGAGTGAATACATGCCTTTAGCTTCAGTGGGCCAGGAGCAGGAGGCAGGGCTGAAACCCAAGGTTGAGGGACTTTCACCCAGCCCCTAGAACCTGGCACTTTGAACTCAGACTTAAAGCCTCCAAAATTATATGAGAATAAACTCCTGTTTGTTAAAGCCATCCCATTTGTGGTATATTCCTGTCAGAGCAGCCCTAGGTAACCAAAACATATCCTTTCGCTATATTTATTCAATTTATATGCAGAGCAAATAATCTTAGAAGCTGGATTATATGAAGAAGAATGCAGCATCAGGATTAGAGGAAGACTCATTAACAACCTATGATATGAAGTGACACAACCTTGATTGCTAAAGAGGACTTCAACCACTTAGTGATGAAGATCAAAGACTACAGCCTTCACTGTGGATTATATCTCAACATAAACAAAAATCCTCTGGACCAATAAGCAACCTCACGATAGATGGAGAAAAAAATTCAAGTTGTCAAGGATTTTTTACTTGGATCTACAGTTAATGCCCATGGGAGCAGCAGTCAAGAAATTAAACCACATATTGCATTGGGCAAATCTGCTGCAAAAGACTTTTTTAAAGGGTTAAAGAGCAAAGATGTCACTTTGCAGACTGAGGTGTGCCTGACCCAAGCCCTGATATTTTCAATAGCCTCACATGCATGTGAAAGCTGGACAATGAATAAGGAAGACTGAAGAATTGATGTATTTGATTTGTGGTGTTGGTGAAGAGTACTGAACATACCATGGACTGTAAAAAACAGACAAATCTGGAGGAAGTACAGCCAGAATGCTCCTTAAAAGTGAGAATGACCAAACTTTGTCTCTTGTACTGGTCATGTTATCAGGAGGGATCAGTCCTGGAGAAGGATATCATACTTGGTAGAGAGTCAGTGAAAAAGAGGAAAACCTTCAATGACATGGGTAGACATAGTGGCTACAACAATGAGTTCAAGCATAGCAACAATTGTGAGGATGGCAGAACAAGCAGTATTCTATTCTGCCATACATAGGGTCGCTATGAGTTGGAACCAACTTGATGGCACCTAACAACAACAGCATCTTGAAATCATGTAAATTTTTCA